ATAACACATGTAAAGATATTCTATTTAAAGCTCACTTTAATACTCTGCCCAACATTCTAGCTGACCACTGTCTGTGGTCCATTAGATCTCGTGGTTTATCTCCCTCAATCTTCTTAATACTTCCAATTTATCCAGAGTGCAGTGATGCAGGGACTTTCTGGGGGTTTCATATTGGCAACACAAACTACCCTTGAACACTCTGGCTTTCAGGTTAAACCCAACTCCCAGGAGTTTTACCATTCTCACAAGCTTCAGCTCAAGAGCGTATAAGTTGTGGCCTATATCTGTGTCTGGCTCATCTGAGTACCCAGAATTATCTGCTAACCAGGAATCATCCTTGTGTGACTCTGGTTTGTGACAACACTACAGCCATCTTTGTGCTGTGGGGTCACTATAGGTTAACTGGCTTCTCATTTACATAAAGTAAAAGAGAAGTATCCCTTATCTGTAGTGAGAGCTCAAGGCAATATTTTGCCAATGTGGTAACACCCCTCCATACTCCCTGGGTCACATTTGATTTGTGTAACTCAAGCTCTTTCAGTCTTTTGCTTGATTCTGGATTTCTCGGAGCTCTGTTGCCTCCTGTCTGGGTGGTCAGATGGCAGAGATACTGATTCAGGCTTGCCAGGCATCCTCTCAACATCAAAATGAGTTAGTGTAGCTGTCATTTTAGAGGTTATTAGCTCTGCCAAATATCCTGTCTTTTCTCACTTTTCTGTTTAATAAGAGGAGCTTCTCTAGTTATGTTTTGGCATTAGAATTTTTAACCCACCCTATTGTGTGCTTAGTAAAGAATTTTCTGTGGAGAGCCCCTTTGGCTCCCCGGAGCTATACCTGGCTGATGTGTATATATTAGACCATGGCAACAGTCAATCGAAGGAGTTCTAAGCCTACCGGGGACCAGAGCCAGAACCTGGCCCCCTCAAGAGAGGCACGAGGAGCAATGGCCTATAGACACTGTGTAATTGGAAGGAGTCTTTGTCTGCTATCTACCAGTTCAGGCACCCAGAAAGGTAGGAATTTCAAAACAAACTACTGCTGGTAAAAAATTGCTAACCGAAAGCCGAACTAGCAAACAGAACTCCCCAATCAAGGAAACAAACATGACGTCACCACAACCGCCGCACATCCGTCTGCGCAACCCCCCCCCCTCACCAGGAGGGGGATGGGGGGTTCCAGACCTCCACAGCGGCAACTCTCCTTAGTTCAAGAGGCTGTTGTGTTGGTGACGGTCGATTGCTGTGGCTCCATTCTTTGCACAATGCTGCAGTGCATTGTTGTTGCTCTGTTTTGGTGGTGTGAGAGCCAGAAGTAACACAAGAGTACTGGGGTTGCATGCACCTACGGCTACCTTCCCTAGGTGCCCCGTAAGTACTGCCTTTGCGGCTTCAGGGTTATCTGCCATGAGCCGTTCAGGAGCAGCTACCTCCGTGTGGTTCTGTTGCTGCTCGGTGATTGCCCGCCCTTGGGGGTTCAGCTGGGAAGGTTCTTACTCCCGTTTGCCCTTGGGTAGGAGGTAGTTTCATCACTGGCTAGGGTGCGAGGTACTGTGCATTTGTCTGATATACGCATAGCAACCAGTGCACCACTAAGAACCTAGTGAATGGAACTAGGTTCTGTTCACCTAGAGACATTGTGCTTTTGTGGGGTTTTTCTTTTTTTTGTTTTGATTTGCCTAGTTGGGGTCTGCCTGGTGTGGCGGTAGGACCACTTGTAGGACTTTGGTGGCCCTCCATTAGGTCCCTGTGCTTGCACATGTCGCAGAGGTTCAGCTTTTAGATTGTTTGCTTGATAGCTCTGGGATAACTGGTTAGCAGTACCTCGCCTGGGCTTCCCTTAGCAGTCAGCCTAAGGGCCCTGGAAACCCCCTTTGGGGCTCAGTGGTCCAATGTAGGAGACGTCTGAGTCCCACCTCGCCTTGTGCAAGTTTGAAGGTTGCTCTGTCCTCTTGTCTCAGGGTAACACTCACCGTCTGCCTCCGCCTTGCTGCCTGTTGGGTCAGTGAAACCAGTGACCCGGAGTCCTGCGAGTGGTGTTCTTTGCTTGTACTCCATTCACCCAGTCCACTGAGACTGATATTCGAGTGCAGACAGCTTTAGTGTTGTATGCGAGGTTTAGGTTGCAGCAACGTGTGAGGTTGGTTGCCTTTCCGGATGCCCCGCAGCTGCCCTGCTGAATTATAGTGGTAGTGAGACTCGGGTGACTTCAGGGATTGCCCCTTCCGGATCGGCGGCAGAGGCATTCGAGCCTGGTCCTCCTGCCGGAGCTTTTGGGCCACGCCAGGGGCCCCTTTCATCCCTGCTTTTCCGGTGGATTCTGCTTTTTCTCCCAAAGGCAGAGGGTTTGGAGGACGGCTTGGCCCCGGGTCCTGACGTGGAGGATTCCGGGGCTTGGGAGGAGTTGACTTGGGGGGGCCTGGGCCCTCACTTGTCCCTGCTTGGGTGTTTGGTACCCTCGGTGCGGAGCTTGTTGTTACAGGGGAAGGGTTTTCCTATCCCCCTCCCTGTGTGTTTTTGTTACGAGTTCGACTCCTCCCCAGGTTCGGTTCCAAGTTCCCTTGGGTTCTTCGGTTCCTTCCTTCTGGAGGTTTTTGGCTTCCCGCATCCCACCAAGGAAGGTGTGGGAGGCCCTTGCAGCTTACCTCCTGCGAGACCCGGATTACGCCTCGATAATGAAGCCTTCTTTTGAGTTTGGCTCCTCTTGTCCTTATTGGGTGCGTTACAAGGTGCCGGGGTCTTCCTGGCTGGCAGACTGCCTTTTCTTTCATTGGGGGGTTGACATTCGTCCTATCGGACTGTGCATTTGAATGTCGAGAGTTGCCTACGGTCATTCAGGTTTTCCTGGGGGGTGAGTTGGAGCACTTCCCAGAGATGAACTAGATCAAATCTACACTGATGGGTCATCTAATCCTGTCAATGGCAGGGCTGGTGCAGCATACACAGTAATTAAGGATAATGCTTTCCAACTCGGAAATGAAGAAAAAGCGTGTATTGAGAACTATGCCTCTTCACGGCAAGCAAAGCTAACTGCCATTGTTATGACGTTACGGTTTCTTGATGGGAACACTAATGGTGCAGTGATTTGCACTGATTCAAAAGCAGCACTCCAAAGCCTAAGTAAAAATCGGGCAGAAAATCTTGCAATAGTCGCTGAAATTAAGAGAGCTGTGAGAGTACTTACCAATCAGGGAAGTCATCAAGTTTCTGTGGGTCTTCCTTCCCATGTTGGAATATGTGGGAATGAACGAGCAGATATTCTGGCTGCTGAAGGCGCTGAAGGAGACCATATTGAATACTTCATACCTAAGACTCTACTACAAATTAAAGGTATTGTCAAGCAACATCATCGTGACAATTTTCACGGTGATGTTGACATCATCAGTTGCAATTTTCTTACCATGTGGGGTTATGCCTTCCTTTCTGGGTGCCAACCCTGGTCGATGGCAGACATGCGATCCCTCCAAATACATGTGGTTTCCATAGGCCATTGCTCCCTTTGCCTCTCTGAGAGGGCCAGGTTCTGGCTCATGGTCCCTGATAGGCTGAACTCCATTTGACTGATGCCCCCCAGACTAATATAATAAATATCAGCCTGATAGGTACAGGGAGCCTCTGGGGTTCTCCCAGAGAATGGCATTTCATTACATTCAATGCTGGTTTTTTGGCTTTGTTTCTTAGTTGTGAGACATTGGCAGTGTATCTTTAGGCTTGATTGCTGCCAGTGGAACTTAACACTTTCACCCGGGCATGACGCAGCATTGCATAATCCGTTTACTGGGGGTAATTCCGGGGATGACGCAGCATTGCGTCATCCACTTTAAATAATCGCCAAAAATCAGGTTTTTATCCAATTTTTTGGGGACTGGTTTTAAAATGCGCGCCGATGTCTTCTCATTTTCTTTGTTGAGCCTCGTGGCCCTCAGGCAGTTTGGCACATGCCGTGGGCCCTTTGTTTTCGCTCCACTGTTGTGACCAATGTTGCCTCCCCTCGCATCTCAAACGTGTGAACATTTCGGCTATTTTCCGTGGCTATATTTCTTACTGCGGCTTTAGAAACTATCTACGCTTACTCCACGATGGATAGTGATCATGAACAAGGCCCTTCCAGGAAGAAAATTGCGAAAGAAAGGCTTGAAAAGGGTGGGAATTGGAAGTGTAGCTGGAAGGCGGCTGAGCACTCACTCGCGGCTAACGCGTGGCCCGTCTTCAACTCGTCGGCGGTTGGAGCGTGACCAGGTTTTTTATTTTATATGCTAATGTTCCTCTAGAGAATTCTATTGCGAACCCATTGAGACCAAAATGAAAGACTTAGGATAAAAATTGATGTGACCAGAGTGAAAATAGTGAAAACATTTTATCGCGTTTGCGCGCTCCTGGGTAACTTGTTCGCACTTTCTCTGTTTGCTGCGGGTAATTAGCCGGACTTTTGGAGTTTATATGCATTTAGTGCTGTAGAGAATTCTATTGCGAACACAATGATACCAAATTTAATCTCGTAGGACGAGAATTAAGGTGACAAAGTTGAAGAGAGTATACACTTTTCAGAATTTACGCGCGCTCCCGTGACACCCTGGGTCCCATATCGCACAGTTGAGGGGTGGCGAGCGGGGTGCGCCAAAGTGTTAATTATTTCTTCCACCCAGGTCAGATTCTCCTTTCCCATGTAGGCCGTGTTGAAGGTCTTGGTAGGCTGCATCATCCTTCTGGCTTCTATGTGGCTCTTTCTTTCCTGGGTCACAGCCCTCTTCTCTTATTGTCCTCATTTTGTTCCTTTCCCAAGGCCCTGCCCCTCTCTGAGAATCTGTTGATGAACACCTTTGGCAGACATCCTTGTATTATATTTCTGTATGTGATTGAGGATGCTTGGATGACCTGGCAATTTGTTGTTCTTCGTCAAGTATCTTTGGTGTCGGCACTTTCAATGCTAAATTTTAATTATAATTGCTTGCTGCAAGATTGCCATTTATGCTAGTTCATATGCAATATAACTTTCTTCTTCAGAGATGTAACCTTGAAGGAAGGACCAGATATAGGCTCTAGTGCTCTAGATATGTATTCCAAGGCTCAAAAGGAGCGCCTGGATAACTTAGATCAAGCAAATCAAGAAATTGATAGGTTACGAAAAACCATAGAGAAGCTTCAGAGTGAATTACAAGGTGAGTATTCTTCTCTATTTATTTAGTGCCAACAGTAACATAAATTTGTTTGAGTATTATGCACAGAGGAATTGGCTAACTAAATAACTGCATTTCTGTTTGAATGAGAGAAGCACCCAATAGCAATTTTTTAATAATTTTTGATAAAATTTCATAATTTTTCTTTTTGTATTGTTGTTTGGCTTCAAACAGGCATGTAGCAATTATATTTATAATAGTTATTTACCAGTAAAGAGTAAAATAAATCTATATTTGATTTGCTTAAGTAAAGTTAATAAGAAAGCATTGGAGAAGAATGTTATGGTAATCTTGTTCAGTAACAGTTTTGTTATGGCATTGCATTATAGTTCATAGCTATGCAGTATCTATTTTGTTCAAGCTGTAATCATATTAAATCTAATCTTCTAATGCTGGATGTTTATGTTATGTAATTATCCAAGTGTTTGTTAGCTAAAGTGGAAATCTTTGCATCACACTAATTGCCAATTATGCACTTACAGAGAAACTCATAGATTTTATTATTTTTTCTTTTCAAGACATACGTAGGATCATACCTCACACCATCCAATCAGCTTCTAAAGAATCTTTTTGATTTAATTTTAAGTTCAGCATTTTTCTTTCTTTTTATGACAATGACAATTCCTTTTGTCTCCATCTCATGCCTTTATCGTCCCAGTATTATTTTCCTTCTCCTCTATTACCTCTCATTCCCCGGCCACCATCATGATGGAAGAGTGTAGCAGGTAATGACTTCCTCTTACTAGTCCCTATAGCTTTTTGGGATTTGCTCTCTTTGTGGTATTGATGTAGTAATGTTATTTTAAGTGTGTTTGCTAAAATGCTGCATGTCTTTCTTCTGTGTGTGCACCATATCTCTTACTGAAATGCATCATTGTTTGTTACCAATTGTTGTGTTTTATGTCTAGTTTCAACAAGTGCTATCATAACAAATGTCTATGAAGTGTGGGAAGTATATAAAAATTATATTAAAATCAATTAATTTTAAGAAAACGGTATTGTGGCATTCCCCAAATCCAGACCCCAAAATAACGGATTTCAAGAAAATCAAGACCAAATCTGCACACCGGAATTTTGCTCTAATTTCAGATTTAAAAAAAAAATCCAGATTTCATGGAAGGTGTGGTGAAATATGGATTGTCAGTTCGTGTAAAATCATTTTCATCAAATCGATTTTTGTCTTATTTTTCATTATTGGGTTTATTGTGGCACAACTTTGCATAATGTTTTTGTGGAGTGGGTATAGGAATGTGCTCGTTTCCCTGAAGTATGTATGGGGAGGAGACTGTGTGTGTGTGTGTGTGTGTGTGTGTGTGTGTGTGTGTGTGTGTGTGTGTGTGTGTAATTACCCAAGTGTAGTTACAGGATGAGAGCTACACTCGTGGTGTCCCGTCTTCCCAGCACTCTTTGTCATATAATGCTTTGAAACTACTGACAGTCTTGGCCTCCACCACCACCTCACCTAACTTGTTCCAACCGTCTACCACTCTGTTTGTGAAAGTGAATTTTCTTATATTTCTTCGGCATCTGTGTTTAGCTAGTTTAAATCTATGACCTTTTGTTCTTGAAATTCCAGGTCTCGGGAAATCTTCCCTATCGATTTTATCAATGCCTGTTACAGTGGTACCTCGGTTTAAGAGTTTATTCCGTTCCTGGAGACAGCTCGCATTCCGAAAACTCTTATTCCGAAGCTAATTTCCCCATAATAAATGATGGGAAATGAATTAATCCGTTCCTGACTACCCAAAAACCTCACTTCAAACTAAATTTTATACTTAATTCATCTAAATAAACCTACAAAACTATGTTCAAGCTATTACTTAACCTTGTTGATAAATGCTGTAGGCGTATCGAAGATAGTGAGGAGGGAGGAGGAGGAGAGGTGTTACTGTTTGGAAGGGGAGTCCCCTTCCATTATAACATCAGGCAGTGAGGACCTTTCTGGGATACTCTCTGGCATGTTTTGCCTGCATACCACTAGGACCTGCTCGTGGCTCACTGCTCGATTTTCTCACAACAAATCTATTCATGGAAGCTTGTTTTTCCCTTCTTCGCAAGCTGTCTCTTTAGTAAGGCATCACATTGTCATTGAAAAGATTAAGGCAACGGCCTACTACAGCTTTCTCTGAGTGAGTCTTTTCAATAAAAGTTTGCATATCTTCCCACAGTTCTTCCCACACACAGTTCAACAACCCGTGTACCATTTTCATGCTTCCGAATGATCTCTTGTTGCTGCTCTATTGTCATCCTCACAGGGGCTTTCTTGCCTTGATCCTTACCACTGGCTTTCTTGGGACCCATGGTGAGATATATAATAACTTTTATGGTCAAATGATAAAAAATCCAACAAAACACTGAAAATCCGGGTGAAGAATTGACGTGGGATAGTCACTGGGTGCGAGGCACTGGTAAACTGAGGGGTGAGGGGTGACGATCGCCGTACCACCACGAGCTAATTCAGCCTGTACACGTATCAACAAACTCGTGTTCCGAGGTAACCCTCGCCTTCCAAGGCAACCCTCGCCTTCCAAGGCACATTTTCCGAGCAAATCCTGCTCGTATTCCGAAAAACTCATATTCAGGGACACTCTCATTCCGAGGTACCACTGTACTATTTTGTACGTAGTGATCATATCACCTCTTTTTCTTCTTCTGTCTTCTAGTTTTGGCATATTTAATGCCTTTAACCTCTCCTCATAGCTCTTGCCCTTCAGTTCTGGGAGCCACTTAGTAGCATGTCTTTGCACCTTTTCCAGTTTGTTGATGTGCTTCTTAAGATAGGAGCTCCACACAACCACTGCATATTCTAGCTTTGGCTTAACAAAAGTCGTGAACAATTCCTTTAGTATTTCGCCATCCATGTATTTAAAAGCAATTCTGAAGTTAGAGAGCGTGGCATAGGCTCCTTGCACAACGTTCTTTATGTGATCCTCAGGTGATAGTTTTCTATCTAGAACCACCCCTAGATCTCTCTTTATCAGAATTCTTTAAAGATTTCTCACATAATTTATAGGTTGTGTGGGGTGTATGTTCTCCTATTCCACATTCCATTACATGGCATTTATTCCCATTAAATTCCATTTGCCAAGTGGTGCTCCATATACTTACTTTGTCCAGGTCTTCTTGAAGGGCATGACAATCATCTAGTTTCTTATCCTTCCTATTATCTTAGCATCATCAGCAAACATGTTCATATAATTCTGTATACCAACTGGTAGATCATTTTGGGAATCGATGCAGAATCAGTGACATGTAACAGTGAAGAGCTGCCTCCGAAAACAACAAATGATGCACTCCTGGCTGAAGCAACCAAGCATTAAACACCAAAAATACTCCTCCGAAACCTTACCAACTCGTTCTTCACCAAAAAAAAAAAAAAAAAGGAAAGATGGCCACAAATGAAGAATATGCCCATCAGGGCCAAAAGAACATGAAGCTCTCCAACCCCAACAACCAGAGGAGAGAGCCAGTAGAAACTCTACCTTGAGAAAGGCATCCTTGACTGAAGGGGAAGCCAGAAACCGAGAAGAGGAGAGAAAGGCGAGGACACAGTCGGGCAACCAGGACAGCTCTGGAGGAGCAGAAGCAGGCTGGAGGTGAAAAATACACCTGAGACAACTTGTGGTATGGCACCGAAGAGGTAACGATGCTGAATGAGAGCAACAGCAGCTCCACCGATGAACGATACGAGTGTCAGGCAGGAGATGCTGGATAACAAACAACACGACAAAAGAGGAAACTCAATCTGAATGGAGACTGAAGAAAAAGAATGGAGAGGCAGAATGAGGCAAAATGAGCATCAAGCAACTTCATATCATTGCCGTAAAGACAGATGCAGCTTGATCACCAATAATCCAGCCACTTGCTTGCCATACAAATGACAAGAGAAATTCATAAAAAAAAAATTGGAAAGCCAAGTAGGTCAAACCAGCAAGGTTCATCACTGGACCAATCTACTGAAGGAGGCTTTGCCGCAGAAAAATGCCTAGGGATTGGCAACGGGCAAGAAGAGCCAGGAACCAAGGCTGAGCTTGCCACCAAAGTAACCAGAAGGATTACCTTCCCTGAGAATGACTTTGGTCTGGACAGAACTCTTAGCAATAGCTAAACAGGGAGGAAAGATAAATGAATCCTTATCTTGGCCAATCCAGCTGAAAAGCACCCACAGGGAGACCCTCACGATTGGGGGAATGGTACCATGTAAGAGGGAAGGCCCTGGTGCCATGCTGATAAGAAGAGGCTCGCTTACAGGCACCCAAACATCTCTCAAAGCCATTAGAAGGACACATCTTTGATGGTCCACTCCATGGAAATAGGACAAGACAACCCATCTGTAAAATCTGTGGACACACTCCAAAAGGGAATCAAGCAGAGAGCCAAATCTTGAGAAGCCAGAGGCTGAGCTACACAGTGTCCAGTTCCAAATCAGCTGAAATGACTATCTTCCCCACTCCCTTAGGCCTGGCAACAAACCACTTGGGAGCATTCGAAAGGGAGCCAGTGTGTGGAAGCCGAATGAAGCCATAGTCTCCTCAAGCATACCCTTGGCCGCAGACTTGCACACCATACTAAGTGCCCAAAAAAGGGGCCCAACCACCAATCCTGGGAGGCTTGGAGAGCACTGGACACTCAGCCCTAACCCAGAGCCGAGGTGTCCATAATTACATCGAGTGATGGTGGAGAATGGCCTCTGTTTACTTTATTATGTCCATTAGTTTGAATTACTTTATGCAAAGTTTACTGTACTTCTGTTAACCTCCAAATTGCACCTTTCAGTTATTTCCTATTATTTTCTTCTTGCTTTCCTATTTGTATATACATGTAGCTAGTACCACCCTTCCCAGTTGTTATGGTCTTGTAAGGAAATACCATCTGCTTAAGATTACTGTTAAATTTAAGCTGCATGTAAATTTTTGGGCTGGCCCTCGGTACCTTCCCGGTGCATTGGCTCTGGTACCAAAGAGACATCAACAAAATGGCCA